TGTTCTGCTGGGGCTCAAGCCAGGAGAAGTCATTGTAGTATCTGGAAGTGAAGGGCAATGCCCTCCCAGTCTTTCATTTTTCTCTGCGTTACCATGGGTTTTATGAAGTCTACCCCAGCTTATATGTACTTAGACATTGGATTGTGTTTGCATTGAAGTTGTCTACACCATATGGAGTTGCTCTAGTCTTAGTTGTTCACCGATAGCTATGAGTTTCTTCCGATCAGGACTTGGTAGGCAAAACCAGAGCTCTGCGCTAGCACTTGTGCTGCCCTGGTAGTGCTGCAGGGTTTCCATCCAGTTCTGTAGCTTCTGGTCAGTCTTCTGGAAGCAATTCTAGCCATCCCCACTTCTTTTTCTCCAGGGTAAGGCAAACTTCCCTTTCCCCACCATGCATGCCTGTCTTCTAGAAATACATGGGATTCAGGGTTCTGCCCTTATTACTTAGGTATCTGCATCTTTTGTTCCAAGCCATCCTGGCTGTCACACAGCACTACATCTACCCCTGGATCTCGTCCTCGCCTGGGCAGGCGGCAGCGAGTGATCTTGGGGCATATTGTAGATCTAGCAGCTAGTCTGGATGGTGAACCTGGCATGGGTGCTGCTTCTCCGTCGTTCAGCTGTAGATGGGTTTTTCGGAGCTGTTTGAGCCAGGGTACCCAAGGGAAAGGAGCTGTTGTGTCATGACAAAGTCCTGTTGTAGCAGCAGCAGTTTGTGACCATTCCTGTGCTGTTACTCAGCCAGCAACTGGAGCATGTCAGACACTGATGCGGACTGTTATCAATTCCTTCCCTTGCCAGCTGTTTCCCATGGTGGCCTGGGTCCACTGTGGCCGGCAGCGTTGTGGGCACAGCACATGCTATCCCTAATCTCAACTGCAGCACTGCCGTGCCACTTTGGGAAATGGCTGGCGGGATCAGCCTGTGTTTCAGCAGCAAGAGAGCTGTCTGAGCTGGTGACCGTGAGCACTTTGAAGCAGTGACTTGCCAGAGTCTCCTGGTCAAGACACCTTCCTGAAGCCTCTTTTTCTGTGTGCACGCATGCACTTGCACTTCTGGAGCTGGGAGATCGCACTCCAGCACTATTGCATTTGCCCAATGTTTACGCATTGGAGAAGCACCCTCTTAGCATCCATGTGGAGCACAGTCTGTCAGGGAGAGTCCGTTGGTCCTTCCAGCCAGCACAGGGAGCCAGTGGTGCCAGGCTTCCCAGGGAGGAGTTGGGCTGAGCAGTTGGCTCTGCCAGAACTAAGGATGGAGACAAAACTCTCCTATGCTCTTGCTCAATATGGCTGTCTCCCTTCCCCCCACCCAGGCCAGGATCTGGCCTTCTCGTTTTGAAATGGAGAACAGCAGGCGAATCTCAGCATGTTTGTGCAGTGCTTTCTGCTCCTTGAAATGCCAGGTCTGCACCCACTGGCCAAAATCCCCTCACCCAGCTCCCTGCGCCTGCGATTTCCAGCTGCCCCTGTGATGCTCCAGAGCCACGAGGCTGGCTATGCAAAGCCCTTCTCGTGTCACCATCCACTGCCGGCATTTTGGAGGGCATGTCCTGCTCCCAGCACTCTGGAAGAAGCAGAGCTTAGCTTAGCTGTGAACAAAGACCTGGGCTTGCAGAGCTCTCCAGGCACTGGTCTGTGGGTGGATTGCCTGTGGAGCAGCTCTGGCCCTGCTCTGGCAGGCAGGAGGTCGGGCAGTGTGGCAGACCCCCATCTGGGGTGCAGAGAGCTCCTCTGAGCCACAGGCAGGGCAGCGTGAACTGCATGTGTAAGTCACAGCCGCTTTCTGGCTGTGGCTGGTGCTAAATGAATGAATCCCCTTTGAGCAAGGAGCAGGGTGTCTCCAAGATATAAAGGGCCGATTGGGGCAGAGGGGTGAGGCTGTAGCTTCGGGGCAGGGGAAGGGCAGGCAGAGAGGCTTGTTCCGCAAATGATTAAGCCTCTTACCCGACAAAATTGCGGTTGGTGGTCTACAGATGCTGACTTCCTCTATCCCCTATGCTGGGCTGTGGCTGTCCTTAGCCCCACCAGCCAGGGAGGGAGGGAGAAAAAACCCTTTGGGGCCGCGCCGAGCTGTGGCTGGGGATGGAGGGACAGAGGAGCTCCAGGGTTCCCTGCTTTGCCCACCCTTTGCTCTCTGCAGCTGTCATCTCATGGGGAAGGCGGTCAGGCTGCCCACTGCCTGGGGAGGAGGGCAGGCAGCCAGCCAGCACTGCTGGTGCGAGCTGCTCAAGTCCTCCCCTTTGCCCAAGAAGTCTCTTTGTTTCTTCTGATCGTAATCAAGAGCTTTTGCACAGGTTCCTGGGGCTTCCTACCGACGAGCTGTGTATTGGCCTTCTGGGAAGGGGATGCTACTCCCGGGCTGCCACTACCCCGCCATCGCTCGCTCTCTAGCTGGCTGTCCCAAACCGAGGCGAGGCGTGCACGGAGGTTTACAAATTTTCTAAAGCTTTTGATAATGTGAAGCTCCTGGGTGATGAGGTTGGTGGTGAGCACACTGCAGCTATGTAATTTTTTGTGTATGTATGTAATATTTAAGGGTAACAAAATTTAAAAGGCTAAAACCTTAAAAAAAAATTTAAAAACACACAAAAAAAGCCAAAGCATGATGCATATTGTTAGCCTTAAAACTGGCTACACGACTGTGTGATGTACAAATGAGAGCAGCCTGTAACTGTTTTAAGTGCTGGGGTTGGGGAAGAAGCATTACAAAATCAGTTTGTAGCCTTGATTCTGTACAGTATTTAATGAAAAAAAAAAAAAAAAAGACCTGACTATTGAGGCCATGCTTAGAGGTGTGTTGTTCACGTGCAGATGTGGATGCTTGGTTGCTTACGATATATGTATAAAGTGCTGTGTGACCATTAAAACTTTTTTTACCTGCAGAATTTTTTTTGTTTGGCTAACCAAGGTGTAATAAAGGAGGGAAGATGACTTGCCATTAAATTTTGCCTCTGTGAGTAGTTCTGACTGTTGTCTCTTTCTTTTCCCCCCTCCCCGCCACGCTTTTGGCACTTGCCCTGTCTCCGGCGTGCATCCCTGCGCCAGGGTCTGGACTGGACGGGGTCCCGCTGGCTGAAATCAACAGCACGGAGAGGGCAGCAAGTCCGGAGGAAGCCAGGCAGATCTGGCAGCGAGGGGCTGCCCCCATGGGTCTGTATAAACTAGCTCCCCGAAATCCTGATTCACGGGGCATCTGTCGGGCTTTTTTTTTTTTTTCTTCCTTATTTTCCCTGCTTTTTGCTGGCACGCAGTAAATGCAGGCTGCCCGGCGGCTCGGCATGTGCCGCAGCACAGCTGGTGGCTCAACTGGCAGCTGCCCCAGCAGATGGGGCCAGACCCTGGGGTGAAGCAAAACCCTCTGCAGATCCCCCAGTCTGGCAGTGGGATGGCTCATGGGTGCTGGTACTGCCTTCCCAGCCCTTACCTCGGCGCACAGGTGAGTGTGTGATGAGATGCAAACGCAGCCATGTCCAGGCTGCTGGGGCCAAGGGACTCCTTGCACCTCCTGGGTGCTGGTGAGGTGGTTAAACCTCACTGCCGTTTCCCCCTGTGGCTGCCCTCCCTCGCCCCCCCTCTGCCTGCAAGGAGAGGCTCAAAGGGTGCCAGTGCAGGCAGAGGAGATGGGCAGTGATGTCAATGTTTTGAGACTTAATAGCTTTGCTGGAGTTGTTCAAAACCAGCAAGCATCTGCCTCTTGAGGGGTGTGTGGCAGCTGCTGCCCCCTCCTTCGGGTGTCAGGAGCGAGGGGCTGTGTGGGGGGAGCTGTCGGGGGCTGCCCTGGAAGAGCCCGTGGCTGCTGGCTGATGGGTTTTGGAAGCAGTTGGGTCAAGGAAGAGACTTGTGCAGCAGAACCTGGGAAAGGGAGGGCAAGGGAGATCTCAAGCAACCTGCTGCTGTGAGCAATACAGCTGTCCCTGGGAGAGGCCCGGAGGAGACTCCAGGGAGCCTTTCAGGTGCTGCAAGCCCAAGTGGCTCAGCTCTGGTGAACTGTCTCACTGGACCCAGTCAGCCAAGAGCTCTGAGCGCATCCCCTGCCCTGGGCTCTCCCTGCTGCCTCCTCCGGCAGCGGTGGCTGTTCGATGCGGTCAGAGAGTTCGGCGAAGCGTTGCTGAGCCTGTTTTTACACCTGGCCCAATGCCACGGGGGAAATAACTTTATTGTGGGAGGTGGTTCCCAGCTGCTGCCTGCCTTGCTGGCCCTGGAGCGGGAGCTTGGCTCCCTATGAGCGAGTGGAGCCGTGGGGGGTAGGGGGAACAATTGTGCTCTTCTTTCCTGGTTCTGCAATCCTAATTGCATAGTTTGTAGATGAATAAATGCAGGCAGCCACCGCTGTTTACTCTTCTGCTTTGTACTCGAGCACTGTAAATGAGGTTTAATTACTGCAGTTTTATACCAAACAGCCTGAGTAATGCCCCCCCAGGCAAGCCCCTGGGCAGGGACCTGTTGCAGGGCTCCAGCTGGCCCCGGGCTGCCTGGGAAAGGGGATGTGTGAGCTCCCCGTAGGGCCCCTGCTCCCGGCAGAAAGCCAAACCTCTCTGCTCCAACAATCCCCTCCTTGAACCTCTTCTATGACCCTTTCCCTGCCCTCACTCGGAGGAACTGAACCATCCCCAAGCTGTCCCAAAGAATTGCTGTGGGGCTGAGCTCCCTGGATTCAATCAATCAGCCCCGGTGTGAGGCTGAGCGGGGAGGTACCGGCACACCCCAAAAATTGGGGTGCCCCATGTCCTACCTCCATGGTATCTCCCCTGAGAGCATCTTCTGGGGCCATTGCTCCGTGCTGGTTCTGGCCCCAAGATGACAGTGGTCTGGCAGCGCAGGCAGGATGCTGGGGAGCAAAGGGCCGCGGTGCTGAGCTAAATCCATCCTGACAGCCGCGTGGCCGGGCTGCATGTGAGCCCAGCCGGGGGTGACAGCACCACAGCCCTGCCCCTGACAGCAGCCGTGAGCTCAGATTTAAAACCCAGGGGGATTTTTTTGCAAATGCTAGATATTTATTGCATTTCTCACAAGAATAAACTCTGCTTCTACAGGAAGCTTTGGGTAGAAACATTCTTAAAAAAGTCAATTTGTTGTACTGGATATATTGGTCCCGACCATCCCTGGGGGTTGGCACTGGCTCTGCAGCAGGGGTGCGAGCAATGTCACCGTGTGCATTTGAGCTGAGGAGGGGATGGGGCTGTGCCGGCGCAGCCGCCCGTGGCCAGGACCTTGTACCGGGATAAAACATGCTGGCATCTCGCCAGCACCAAGTACCTGATAGGGCTCGTGGCTCATTTTTGCGACAGCGCTGGTGGCTGTCCGAAGGGGATAAAGCTAAGCATGGGGGCAAGCGAGGGGATGAGCACCCACGGCCCCTGAGAGCTATTGCTATGGAAGGAGGAGGAGGTTCCTGAGTGGGAGGAAGGCTCTGCCGCCCTTGTGCTGGGCCGTGCCGGCAGCTCAGCGCTGCAGGGTGCAGGGGGAGCCTGGCAGCTCAGGAGCCGCTGAGGACGCGGCAGAGGCGGCTGTGGATCTGGCCCTGCACGGGCTCGCAGGCCAGCACCTCGCCGTCCACCGTCATGATGCCCGTGGCCGCCCGTGGCTCCAGGCGGAAAGCCCGGACGGGGACGTAGCGCAGGTGGGGACAGTTCAAGTCCAGGTGGGTCCCCCTGGCCATGGCCAGGAAGATCTTCAGCAGCGCCACGCGGCTGATGCCGGCCTTCAGGTAGAAGAGGTGGATGCAACCATCGTGCAGCTGGGCCGCCGGTGCCATCAGCAGGTTGGTGCCCAGGTGGGACTGGTAGATGGCATAGACGGAGACAAACTCCTCCTCAGGGACCACCGTCCAGTGCGCCGGCACCGGCTGGCACAGCGGCACCAGCAGCGAGTCGGTGGGCAGAGCCCCAGGCGCTTCCGTCCCCGCCGGTGGCAGGATGCGGCCAGCCTGGCCGTTGGTGACAGGCGCGTGGGGGTCCCTGAGTGCCGGGAGGCTGCCCTGCTCGGGGACAGCGGGCAGGTAGGAGAGGCGGCCCTGGTACACCCGCAGCTTGGCCAGGCACTGGAGTGTGCCCAGGGTGAAGCGGGCATTGCCCAGCCATCGGTACTTCTCGCTGTCGATGTCCACATCTGAGATGAAACCCCAGCCGAAGCCGAGGAAGGAGAAGAGGCGCTTGCCCGAGGCAGTGCTCAGTGAGACCAGGTCCATCTGTGTGTGCAGCCCCTTGCACAGGATGAAGGTGCAGTTTGTCAGCAGCTTCTTCTTGGCGACGTGATCGTTGCTGCAAGGGATGGAGAGGGTGAGTTTGGGCTGGACCTAGCTCAGGGCTGCTCCTGCTGTCCCAGCATCCATGTGCAACCCTTGCCCCTCTATCATGGTTGGGATGTATCCCAGCTGGGTGACAGCATCCCTCAGGGACAGCTGCTGGGAGAGGGTTTGCTGGGGGTGGGAAGAATAAACCAGCTCCTGAAAGAGGGAACCGAGTTGGGGTTGTTGGGCCAGGGCAATCCTGCTCCCCTCCGCCCTGCAGCGGGATCAGCTGTGCCCCAGGGTGGCTCCTTTGGAGTAAAGCTGTGTCAGAATCAGAGCCCGGAGGGGAGAAAGACTGTGGGGGGAGCTAGGGATGCAGTCATGCTCACAGGGACCAGCTGGGGCTGTGCTGCGTCAGCCTGTGGGGAGGTGGGGACCCAGGTGGGCATCCCTGTGCTGGGCACCCCAGCACCCCTCCCCTGGGCTGGAGCCATGTGCAGCCTTTCATTTCCCTCATCCCCCCCGCCTCGGTGCCAGCGCAGCCCCGTGTGCTGGCCGGTGCGGTGCTGGCAGCGGGTGCCCCCACAGGGTCGGGGCTTACCCTGCGTAGTGGTTGATGGAGGCGGCCAGGGCATTCCCGGAGCCCCCCGGCAGGATGCACAGCGGCTTCTTCATGGTCTCCTCCCAGTCCGGCCGCTCCATGAGTCCGTTCACCACCTGTGGGGACAAAGGGAGCTTGTGGCACCCGGGACCAGGTAAGGAACCCAGTGGCCCCTGCCCAGACCCCGGGGGGAGCAGAGTTTGTGGTGTCCCTGGCCAGGGCAGGACCAAGGCCACGGCTGCCCTGCTTTGATCCGAGCTAGGTGCCATCTCTCCTTTGCCATTCCCTGCCTGCCTTCGTGTCGCAAAGCTTGGCGTCCGCCCCAGGCACCCCTCTTTTCCCAGTTCTCTGCCCAGCCCGGCTGGGGGGATGCCCCACAGTGCCCCTCACCTCATAGAGCAGCCCGTCCCCGGCCATGACCACCAATGTGTCCCACTGCGACAGGTCCTCGTCCCGCACCTTCTCATGTGCATGGTGGGGTCTCTCTGCGGGGGAAAGTGGAGTGAGTCAAGCGTCGCCCTCTGTCCCTCTGTCCTGCCTGCTGCCACCCCTCAGACAGTGACCCCAGCCCCGCTGTCCCCACGGGGGTCCCAGCTAGGGATGCAGGAGATGAGGCAGTCACCCCTATGGAGTGCAACCAAGTCACCCATCACGTTGTCCAAACCAGCCCCGCAGGAGCCAGAGCTGCAGTGATGCTGGGGGTACGAGGCCCTCAGAGGAACCCATCCCGGGGTGGCAGCACCTAGTAGGATCCCAGGAAGGGAGGAGGAGGAGGTGAGGGAGCCGCTCATGGACTCACCAGTGATGAAGACAGTGGTGGCAATGTCAGCCTCGGCCAGCATGGGCTGCACCACCGCCTGGAAGTCCTCGAGCGCGCGGCCGGTGCCGCTCTGCGGGTTCAGCAGCACCAGTGCACGGCAGGGCCGGGGCAGCACCCCATAGCTGTCACCTGGGTGGGGGGGAGATTGGGAATCAGGGTGGTGGGGCCGTGGCACTGCCCAGAGAGGGCTTTCCAAGCTGGGGCAGCATTTGCCACGGCCCCACAGGAAGGGGAGCTGCCCCCAATCCCCATAAGCTCCTTAGGCTGCATCCTGACCCAGAGGCAACAGGAGGTGAGCAGGGATGGAGAAACCCTGCTGGGAAACCAAGGGAGGTGGCAGAGATGGGGACATGGGATCCTGCAGGGACCTTGAGCTCTCCTGCAATCAGCAGAGATTTTTTATGCCCAGGCTGGAGCCCCACAGCAACCCAGCGATGCCACAGTGGAGCTGGGGCTCTACAGCACCGAGCATCCTTCTGCATCCCAGGACCACAGGGTGCTGCTGGCTGCATTTTCGGACATGCCAAGGAAAGAAAAGTGGAAGTGAAGCAGAGGTTTGAAGCCCAAACACCCTCAGCTGTGAGTTTTCCCTGCTGAACCCCACGACTCATGACATGGCTCAGTCCCCCAATGCACAGGGAGCCAGGCACGCGGGGGACGGGGGCCAGGGGGACTCGAGGTCCTAATTCCCCACATTCACCCCAGATGGAGCGGGGCCAGAACAGACACCTGTGCCGGCAGACGGACGCTTCTGCTTCCTCTGCTCCCCACGGGGCTCAGGTTTCGTGCGCGAGGGCCCCAGTCGGGCTGTAATTACAAGCCTGGTGGGGGTCTGCATCCTTCTGCCCCTCTGCCCGCTTCCAGCCCCCCCCACATCGGGGGACGGGGTGAGCCCAGGCTGCAGCTGCCCTCCCAGGAGGAGTGATCCGATGGCACCCAGGGGAGCTGGAGGCAGCATGCTTGAGAGCAGGGCCCCTGGGTTCTGCCTGGGCACCCCGAGTCCCGAAATGAGCAGGGCAGCCTCAAGCTCCTGCCTCTGGAAAGCCCCGGCCCTGCAGGGTGAAGCCAGTTTTTTTTTGGGGGGAGGGATGTTCCCCACCAGCTCTGGGCCTCCTAAGCTGCGATCTGACTCCCCAGGGGTATAGCGGGTTCCTGCCTGGGTGCGTGGGCTGTGCAGGACAGCGTGGGGGCTGTGCCTGCTGACTCAGCAGAAATAGCTGCTCCGTCAGGAGCTGAGTCACAAAAGCAGATATTTCCCAACACTGCCCCAGGGCAGGGAATCCCCCTCTAACCCGGGGCAGGAGGTCTGGGACCAGCTGCCCGTCCCCCGAACCTTCTCTGCACGCTTTGATTCGAGCTGTTTGACACACGGGCAGCGTTTTTACAGCTAAAACTCCTTCTGTCACCCCTACTGGGGATGGAGGCAGGGAGAGGGGACCTGGGGTAATGGAGGTCCCCACGTGTGCTACCTCCCTGGGGTGACACCTGGCATCACACCGGTCATGGCCACGCTGGGGCTTCCCTGCGGGTTGGCAGAGCCCCATGAGCTGCCCCGAGGGAAGACATGCCTGGAGCATCCCATCTCCATGCCCAACCCAGCCCCGGGGAGCACACAGAGCTCTGCTGATTTCGGCACCATCAGGTTGATTTTCTGTCCCCGGGAAGAACCTGGTGAGGCTTGTCACCCTCCGGGCCACCTCCTTGTCCCCACACCGGTTGCTTGGGACCTGCCACTGAGTTCACAGCAAAAGTCCACCCGTGAGAGCTCCATCAGCCAGGGCTGAGCCTGGGTCCGGGCGCTGGCTCTGGGCTGGCTCTCCCTGCTGCTGCCCAGGGCCGGGGGAAGCCGCCAGCTGCCCCCCACCCTCCCTGGCCCCTTATCAGTGGGTGCCAGATGCGAGGGGACCAGCTGCCCTCAGGGATGGTGGTGAAGCACTGCGAGCAGAGGCTGCCCCAGCTTGGGTCAGGGATAACGGGCAGCAACCCCAGGGTTGGGCTGGCCCCACTCCCTGCCCTCCAGAGCCTTCCCCAGTCACTACCAGCACTAAAATCCCATTGACAAACACAGCCGAGCGCCCAGGACAGAGGGTTCATGGTCAAGCCCCAGCTGCCGGAGGCAGGTGATGGGGGGCTTTTCTCTCTCTTTCTCCCCCCGCCCCAGCCGTGGAGGGTGCAGAGGGAGAGCACGAGACGCTTCAAGAACCTAAATGCAGTGTTTTAAACCCACAATGTTTCTAATCAGCCACGTTGTTTCTGACGTGCACACAGAGCTGCAGCCAGGTCTTGCCTGAAAACCCTGCCTGGACCCGTGGCTGCTGCCCCGTGGCCTCTGCTGGGCAGTGGGGTACGGCTGGGACCCCGAGGACCCGCTCCTTGGCTGGAGGGGGGAAAGGCGAACGCTGCTCAGGACACAGAGGGATGCCGTCATACCATCACAAGGGACAGATTGCTGGTACCAGGGTGTGAATAGGGATGGGGACGTGATCCTGGTGCGGGACCGGTGACACCAGCAACACTGCGCTCAACGCAGGCTCCCGTGGCAGAAGTGGAGGGTGCCGGTTCAGAGCTGGAGCCCAGCAGCAGCAATGCTCTGGCAAAGGGGACAGATTTCTGCAGAATCCCTTTCCTTTGCGCAACACTGGCTGGCCCCTGGCATCTCAGGCAAGGCTCAGCCACTTCCCGGCACAGTGCGGCTGCTTTCAACCTCAGACGCTGACCAGAGCAGACACTGAGTCAGCAGGAGGAAGGGGCTCCAGCTGCTGCTAGTGCACAAACTCTGCTCTCCCCGCTTTGCCCACATCCCCCCATGGGACACTGGTCCCAGCCACGCTCAGGCAGGGACCACGCTGCCGCAGCTCCGCCATCAGAAGCCCCAGCTGCTCCGTTGTGTCCCCGCATCCTTCTGGAAACTCTCTGGGCACAAGGAACAAGTGTGCCAGGCTGGTAGGGGACAGGGCTGTCCTGCCCAGTGACCTGGGTGGCGTGAGGCTGGGACAGACTGGGGCACGTCTGCTGCATCCCCTCTCTGCAGAGCATCACCTCCGCACAGCGAGGGGATGAGCACGGCAAGGAGGTCCCCCAAAATGGGGGCTTGTGGCAGGGCCAAGTCCCGCTCGCTGCCGACACGCCGTGACGCCGTGGCCATTGATGGCAGCTCAACGGCAGCTTCCTGCTATGGCCGGGGGCTAGATTTCCCCACCAGGACACAAGCCCGGGGGTGGTTTGCTCCCTCCCGGCCGGCTGCAGGGTGGGACAATTCCCTGCACACTGTGGGCAGCCCCAGCTTTGGGGTTATTCATTGCTGAGGGACTTTTTTCTTCCCCTTGGGGTGAAATAAGGAGGAGGAAGCTTCCTCCCTGCCGTAGCTCTCCCTAAGGCTTTTATCCCAGGGGATGCTGGACCTGCAATGACACCGGGCCGGGATCGCCGGTGGCTCCCCAGATCTGTACCCCCCCCACCCCGCAGGGATGGGGTGACAGGATTGCTCCGCACGGACTCGCATGCAGCTTCCTGACACGGCCTTATCTGTCCCGCACAGACACGTGAGGGTGCGTGTAAGCGCAGGGTGTGGCGAGAGGCATTTTTAGCTCTGTCCCAAACTGAGGGAGAAGGTTTGCAAATCCTGCTGGCCCTCAGCTAGAAAAATAACTGCAAAATCCCGCACCGCCTTCTCCCGTCCTCCTTCCTCGGGTTCCCCCGAGGCCCCTGCCGTGCAATGAGCTGCTCCTGCCCCAGCACCCTCGCACGGCCTGCTAAAAGGGCGAGGGTTTTAAAACGCCTGGAGACTTACAGCTGCAGAGTTCAGGCTGGAAATAGAGCCGAGGAACTGGTTTTGCCCTCACCCCCTTCCACTGGATTTTTTTTTTATTCTTTAGGAAGAGTAGCAGAAAGTTGTTTTGTAGCTGCAGGTCATGTAAAAAAGCTGCATTTTAAAATCCAAGTAGGGAGAGCTGGGCTAAATGTGATTTGACAGGATCCCTCTAACCGCATGCCTCTTAATTTCCAAGTCTGATCAGTGCGACTGGACAGCTAAATAAATGAAGTAGTGCATATAATTGAATCTCTGCTCAGATGTTCAAATATATGCCAGCCTGCCCTGCCCTGACTGCAGGAGCTGGAGGACTTGGCCCCCTGTGCCAGCCGCTTCCCTTCGAGTTGGTGACAGCTCCCGGGGCAGGGGGGAGAGGGAACTGAAACCCGGACCCCTCCGTGCTGCCCTGGAACCCCGCTGAGCCCTGGGGGGGGTCCCGGGGGGATTCGCCTGCTCCCAAGTGATGGATGGGACCTGCCGGTGCCTGGCTCCCGTCCTGCCTGCATCAGCAACGATGACTTTTTTTTTTCTTGGTTAATGCTGCCCTTTGGAGCTTTGCTAGTTATCGAACCGAAGCGATGGGGGGGGGGGGGGGGGGGGGCAGGAGGGACTGTGCAAAGGGCCTCCGTGGTACCACCACGTCCCCGCTACCCCTTCGATTTAAGGCTAAAAGGGGGGAGAAGCCACCCCCGGCCGCGGGGCTGTGCACGGGACTGTCCCCGTCCCCCCCAGGCTGCGGGCGGGGGCCGATCGAGGTGACCCTGCGGGGATGTGGACCCCGCCCGTCCGTCCGTCCCCGACCCGTCCCTTCGGGGCCTGAGCACCGCGCAGCGCCAGCTGCCAGCCGCGTCCCCACGCCGCCCCTCGGGGCCAGCCGTCCCGCGTGGGGACGGGCAAGCGGCACCGGGCGGACCCCACGCCCTCGG